GTGTGTGTGTGTGTGTGTGTGTGTGTGTGTGTGTGTGTGTGTGTGTTGGGGATTGAGGCGGGGAGGAGTGTATTCTGTCGAAATACTGCATTCCAAAAGAATCTTGGAATATGACGTTCCAAAAGGCAAAAGGAGCAAACAGGTTTGGAGAGGGTAGTGATACTGATGTGCAAAAGGAAAAGAAGAGCCGATGAAGCACTTTAAAAATTCGTAGACAAGCGTCTTATTTTAGCTGTCAATTCAATGGTTCTTCTGCTTTCAATTTTGTTAACCATTTCTTTGATTTTTAGGGTTGTTATTTTGGTGTTTAGCTAGGGGCTTTTGTTTTGTTACTTTCCCAGGGTTTTTTGTTTGTTTTTTTGTTTTGTTTTGTTTTTGGTGGTATACCCAATTCGTTGATCTGTTCTTTCTTGTGTTGATGAAAGTGTTTAAGGGTATAAACTTTCCCTTGAGAACTGCTTTCACTGTAATCCAAAGTTCTTGTACATTATATATTAATAGGTGGATTTTTCTGCAAGTATCAATTAAACAAACTATTAAAGGTACACCATGTGCAGAGAATCTAAATATAGGAAGATACAAAGTTTAGGTAAGATAGGGTTCCTCATGGAACTCACAGTCTAGTAAAGGGGTTTCCAACCTTTTTTTGGAGGGGGGTCACCTTCACTTTCAATAAAGTAAATTCTGTAAGTATGTTCAGTACATTAATTTTAAAGTAAATCCAGTAAATTTCAGTAGATTCTAGAATTTACCACACAAATGCACATACAGTTTTTTAAAGTGATTAATAATTTTCAAAAGGATAATATAGTTATTTACCAACTATTCTTTGTGCAACCTTCTCATATTCTCTGGCGGTACATATATCCCATGATGGAAACCCCAGTCTAGAGGGAGGATAACATATATACACAGGTAACTATAAAACAAAATATTATATGTTAAATTCATTAGAGAGGTACAAAATAAGCTGCTGACTCTTTCTACCACATCAATTAGTCCCCCTATTCAGAAGTGACATGCTAGGAAAGTCTAGAGGAAATTACATGAACCACCAAACGAAGCTTGAATTTCCTTTTCTTCCAGAAAGCAACCATTTAGGTAACTGATCAGGCATATCTGAATTAGTTCATTTATCTCTTCCCCTATTTTATAACTGATAATCTTCCACCTATCTGTACTTAAGTTTTGGTTGATAATCTCTGAGCTTCAGGAAAAGAGGATAGGGAATACATACACAAGAAGCTGCCTATTTTTAAGACCATGAAACATACAATTTTCAGCTTATAACAGGAAACAGAAATAGATGTATCATAAAATATGTAACATGTAATATGGCAGCTAGGTAACACAGTGGATAGAGTGCTGAGCCTGGAGTCAGGAAGACCCAAGTCCAAATCTGGCCTCAGACACTTAATAGCTGTGTGACCCTGGGCAAGTCACTTACCCTAGTTTGTCTCAGTTTCCTCATCTGTAAAATGAGCTGAAGAAGAAAATAGCAAATCACTCCAGTATCTTTGCCAAGAAAACCCCAAATGGGGTCACAAAGAGTTGGACACAACTAAAAAATGACTAAATGACAACAATATAAGGACTGGGGCAGAACAGTTTTGTGGAAGTTTTTACAGTTACTTTATGAATTTATGACATGTTCATGGCACAGTACATGGAGACTACTCGCTCAGAGTTTGGTAAGTGACCAAATCAGTGTAAGCTTATTTCAGAAGACTGATGGAGAGTGTACCTCCCACCTCCAGGTAGACTAGAAGGTAAAGGTGGTAGATTAGAAGTTCAGAGTGCAGCATACAGTTTTAGCCATTGTCAAGGTTCCATTGGGGTGGAGGGAGTCAGTGAGAAGTGGCAAGAAAAGAGCATCTACAGAATATTTTTTTTAAAAAAAACAAATTTGGGGGCAGCTAGGTGGCACAGTGGATAAAGCACTGGCCCTGGAGTCAGGAGGACCTGAGTTTGAATCCGACCTCAGACATATAACACTTAATAGCTGTGTGACTCTGGGCAAGTCACTTAATCCCAATTGCTTCGCCAAAAAAAAAAAAAA